TATATATATATATATATATATAGATAGGTAGAGCGAGAGAGAGGCAAAGAAAGGTAAGGATACGAAGAGTAACTATGCTGCCGTAGTGCTGTCACATATATTTTTGTATCATATGTGTGCTTGGGATAGATAAAATTTTAGCCATTGGTCATATAGTCGTAAAGCATAACAAAAAACCGAAAAAAGAAAATAAAAAAAATAAATTTTTACTTGATATCATGTCCATTTGTGAAAAAAAGGGAACAAAAAAAAAAAAATAACCGAAAAAGTGAAGCATAATTCTATGAATTATTTAGCCTACTTTTCGGCACTCTCAAAACTGTGTATTCTTTTTGCCGATCTTTAAAATCCCAAGGCAATCTTACAACATATCTTAAAGTGCGCCCCCTCCCCCCTCCCCCCGCGCTCTCTAGCCACAGCCGACAATCCGACAACAAAAAAAGGGAATAAAATTTGATAAAATTTTTCAAATAAATAAAATTTATCCATCAAATGTAAGTCGAAAGGAACTATTGCCTGGATCTGCTCAATTTTAGCAACTTGCTCTGGTGAGCGAATGTTTAGTTTTTAATTTATGGTATCAAATATTTGTTTAAATTTCGTAACTTGTATTCGCATTGTAGTCATATTGCATTTCGATTACTGTGTGAATGTTCTTTCGGTACTTTGGTGTAGTTGCCACAGTCGGAGGTAAATTTGTGGTAAAACATTTCATGCCGAAGTATTCATATATGTATATATATATATATATAAGTGAACATCTCAGAAATCATCCCACATACGTATAAACACACCTACGCATAGTCACATGCTTGTATCAATTCACAATCAACCGAATGTACTTTTAAGATTGCACGATAATGTTGTGCAAAGAGTCAATATATGAAATGCTTAACTCATGGCGATAGTGTTGGAACCCAGGATACGTGATTGTGTACATAACAAAGACATAAGTATCGTTATGTATGTATATATATGTATGTGTTTGTTTGCTTATACACCGATGTTCAGGAGCGACGATAAAATGTCATCCAAGTTAGAATTGAATTGTAAGTGGTTACGAAAGCGAAAGAAAATCTCTCTTTTGAGGTAAACCACACAACTAACAATAACAAACAGTTTGGCAGTCTGAGCGATGATTACATTACGAATATGTCTCTTTGTTGATATATAGGATAGGGTGTTTATGCCCACTGCAATATTCTCCTCCTATTCGTAATGCTTAAGAATACGTTACGCAGCCATTACGGAATCACAAGAAGCCGTCTAAAGATGCTTAGTAAGTGTAGTCTGCCAATGTGAATAATTCAAGACATTAAATTCCGAAATGATTTTCACTTTGTCTTTTGATATTATTTGAAGCTCGTTGGTGATTGATTTAATTTGACTTAACATGGCGTACGTGTTATTCACTATTCAGCTGATTAATTATTGGTCGTCCAGTATGATGTGTTTACTGAATCGCATTTTAATTCCGGCTTTCAGTTGACAATAGCGGCAAGCAGAAGAATAAATGATTATAATGCTAGCGCTTGTCGTCTCCTATGACTTCTGATATCAAAAATGCTTTATCTCATATCTGCTGCGAAAATAAGAAA